GCGGGTGCGCTGACGGGTGCGAGTTCTCCTGCCCTGGGTGCGGGTGGCTCGGGATTGCGTCCCCAGGGGGGGGTCCCTCCCTGGCAACAGGGAGCAGAGACCCAGGGGCGAGGGATGGGGAGACCGCACGCTGCTGGGTGCCTGCGTGCAGCCTGCTGGCAGGTGTCCCCAGTCCTTACCTTCTTTCTGCCTTGCAGCATCTCTGCCCTTTGTCATCCTGACGCTGGTGAACTCCCCGTACAAGCGGGGCTTCTACTGCAATGATGACTCCATCCGCTACCCCTACAAGGCGGACACCATCACCCATGGCCTCATGGCTGGGGTCACCATCACCTGCACTGTTGTCATTGTAAGGAAGCGCCATCCCCTTCCCTCTGGGCAGGGACATCCTGGCATCTTGTGTCCAGGAGCTGGGTCTCAGCACAGCCCACCTCCAGAGCCCCGGCAGGGCAACAGGACCCTCAGGCTGAGCCTTGCTCTGCTGGGGGTCAGGAGCTCCCTCTGGGGCAGTGAGACCCACATCCCAGGGGGCTGTTTCCCTGCAGGGAGGGAGAGAGGCCCCATGAGCTCCTGTGGCGGGGGGGGGGCGGGGGGGCCCTGAGAGCCAGAGCATCCTGTACCCCTGGTTCTGGGGAGCTGCTTGGTAGCCCCAAGATCCTCACCTCTTGCCCCTTGGTCTCTGCAGATCTCGTCAGGGGAGGCATATCTGGTCTACACGGAGCGCCTCTACTCCAAGTCAGAGTTCAACAACTACCTGGCTGCCCTCTACAAGGTGGTGGGGACCTTCCTCTTCGGCGGGGCCATCAGCCAGTCCCTGACCGACCTGGCCAAATACATGATCGGCCGTCTGCGGCCGAACTTCCTGGCTGTCTGCAATCCTGACTGGTCCAAGGTGAACTGCTCCATCTATGTGCAGCTGGAGAACATCTGCCAGGGGGAGAGCAGGAACGTCACCGAGTCCAGGTGAGCATGGGGCCACAGGACATGTCCTCTCCACCCACCTGGTGGTACTGGGCTCCTGCTGTCCGGCGGCAGCCCCAGACATGGGTATTAATGTTCTCCTGCTGCAGGGCAGAGCAGATGGGGGGCGTGAGGGGGGCCAGCTGGGCACTGGCGGCTTGTCCTCATTGCCTGACCCATCCCTTTCGCCCCGCAGACTGTCCTTCTATTCTGGACACTCCTCCTTTGGGATGTACTGCATGATGTTCCTGGCGGTAAGTGCCGTGCTCCAGGCATGTTGTGCTACGGGAAGGCAGTGAGCCCCTGCAGGTCCCGTCCCCCAGGGTGGGCCGGTGCCCCGAGCACCCTGTCTTCAGGCCAGTTGGTGCCCCTCGCACTGGCTGATTGCTCCTCCCTTCCCTGCCCAGCTCTATGTGCAAGCCCGGCTGGTGTGGAAGTGGGCCCGGCTGCTGCGCCCCACCATCCAGTTCTTGCTCATCGCCTTTGCCATCTACGTGGGCTACACCAGGGTGTCCGACTACAAGCACCACTGGAGCGATGTGCTGGCGGGGCTGCTCCAAGGAGCTCTCATTGCCGTCCTCATCGTGAGTGTCTCCTGTGCGACCTGATGCTCTGCTGGCTTGTCGTTGCAGCTCAGCCTGCCGGAAGGGTCTCCAAACCCTCTTTCCCCATCGGTCTTTTCCAGGTCCGTTACGTCTCTGACTTCTTCAAGCACCGTCCACCGCGGCAGTGTGACGAGAAGGACCTGGAGCGCAAGCCCAGCCTGCCGCTCACCATGAGCGACCCCGACCGCAATCACTACAGCTACCGGGGCGCCCCGTGAGCCACGTGCTGGCCACGCGTGCCGGACTGCAGACCTGCCCTTCGCCGCGCTCCGCTCCTGGCGCGGGGGGGACGGGGACACCAGCTCTGTGTTAACCATTGGCTCCACAGCTCCCATGCGTCTTGCTGCCGCAGGTACCTGCAGGACAGCCCTGCCCATCGCTGCTCCTGCAGCACCGCGGCTCCCGGC